CCGTCAGAGCCACCAATAGCATAGAGATAACCACCTAATACAGCTACAGCCACACCCAAACGACGCGTAGTCATCGGTGCAACCTGATTTGAAGAGAAAAAGGAATAATAAATGAAAAATTAGTGCAAAATATTTCTTTTTATATTCAATCTCGCACCTTTGACCATTTATTTTCCTTAGGATCGTAGCGTTCAACATGATTCAGACACTGTACACCATCTTGTCCGCCGACAGCGTACAAAAACCCATCAAGCACCGCTACGCCTACACTAGTGCGGCATGAGGTGGTCGGCGCAACATCACAAGACCATTGATTCGTTTGTGGATCGTAACGCTCAATGCTATTCAAATAACTTTGCCCATCATGTCCACCAACAGCATAGAGCAAATCATTGAGCACAGCAACGCCGACGCCACAACGGCGTTTACTCATCGGTGCAACCATTTTCCAATCATTCGTTTGTGGATCAAAGCGTTCAACGGAGGCAATGGCATCACCTGAACACCAACCACCGACTGCGAATAGCACTTCACCACGACGCGTAGGTTTACGTGGACGCGTGCGCGGACCTTGCATTAGTGGACGTTCCTGTGGTAATAGCAAATAGTTCTTGGCTTCATCGACGAGATCACGGCAAGCTTCATCGGAGCGCACCAACAAATCTGAGCCAACAGTGCCGACAAGAAATTTCGGTGACAAAAGTGGGAGGCGCACATGTTGCAGTACCTTTCAAGTGATTAAAAAAAAGTTTTGTATTTAACAAGAATACATTTATGTACATATGCACACATATTGTCGATTGTTTGATGTCTACCTGTGCCAAATGCTGACGACGATCAGCAACATTATATTTCAGCCAAGACATGACAGCATTGAAAACTTGCTCCTCTGAACGTACGTTCAATTCATCACTACAAATGATGTCTACAAGCTGTCCGACTGGCAGCAGCAAAAATTCTTCGCTTTCCATTACTTCCTGGAAGTTGTGTTGTGTGAATTTGTCCGCGATGCGCAAAAGTTCTCGACATGAGTGAGTATCGGCAAAGGCGCGTATGCCCAAGCAATTGGTTGGATCCAATTGACGCTTGAGAAATTCGCAGCAAATATCTTGTATTTCGACTAATTGCAACAAGCAAGCAGCTGGCAATAAAGTCTGCACATTGGATTCTTCGACAATGATATGAGCAGTGTAGCAAAAATCGATGAGTAGTTCCATGGCATTTTCGTCAATATCACGTATGGTTACTTCAGTTTGTCGTGATTCCTCCAGCTCGCCAGTGAACATGGCGCGAAAGTAGGGACTGCATGCAGAGAGGATGACACGATGCGCAAATATCTTGCGACCGCCAACATTGAGTACCACATCACAAAGTTCGCGATGGCGCCGCAGCATATTCAATTCGGACAATGTTACCTTGGGGTGCTTTTCCGAGGTGTGCGAAAGTCGTGCAGGTGACGGAGGCCGATCTATAGCACCGGTGGAGGCGCCAGCGCTACCGGCCGCACCTGGCAGCATAGGATCGCCCATCCTGTTCGCCGCTAAACGCAGCGGGGCAGATGCCCAACCCCACACCGCGTCTATCTGCAATGTATGTGTAGGAGTAGACGAAACGAGAAAAAATATTTGTTAGCCCAAAAAAATTAGGTAGCAAGCACGCTTTTAGAATTCATTATGACTGAAAAATAATATTCATTTGTAGGTGCATGCAGCTGTGGTAAGATTTAATCATTGCCTCCTGTATGTATGTACTTTAATTCAAATAATTTTATGTTAGCTAAAAGTTAGGTAACACGTACAATTTATCTACCCCCACTCAATTCCAATAATACTACAAGTATCTATTTGCCTAAGAACTAAGAAAAACTTAAGTAACTTTATTTGCCCACTCATATCTCAGTTGTTCCACTGATGCCCACATCAGCTGTCGGCAGCCCCCACATCAGCGCACAAACAACAAAGAAAATATCTGTGCCACTGCCATTGCCTGACGAACAACAACTTTGCCTACTTTATTCGAGCTAATTAAGAATTACTACTTAACTGCTACTAACTTAATTAACGCGCACACACTAGCAGCTATACATAAGTATAGATGTGCAAATCTTTACATACCTTAGCGTTTTTGTCAACGACAAGCCCAAAACACCACGACCAACTCCAAGTAGCAATTCTCGAAAATGCAATTTTCGCAGTTTCCTCAGTAGCTTCGTTGCATTGAAATTTCTTATATGTAAAACTTTTCAATTGCGACAAATACAAAGTGTACGTCGATTTTTATTTTTCACACTTTTTTGTGCCCTCAGCTAAGCAACCGCCGACCCTCCACCAAATTGTTCGCCTGCGTGATTGCTACCACCGCCCTAGCTTGTGCCACACCGTTCAGCTGCTGCGTTTGCCCTATCTTTCGTTCGATTTTGCAAGGAAGAGTTTGCAAATGTAATCTTAATGCGATCACCAACAGGAAATTAACTTATTATTGCGTTATTTTTATATCTGCACTCATCTTTGATATTTTTTCACCAATTTTGTAAGTATTCCGCAATAATTTTCATGAAAACATAGGAAAATCGTCACTTTTTCTCGATTCACCTTACTGCACAAACACCAACACGCATCCGACTGGCAGCGCTGCCAGCTGTATCACTATGTATTGCATGTGAACTTGAATTGACCAATGCGTTGAAATAAACAGCTATATTAATGCAATATACCTTAAATTTTTTTTAAGAATTAAAATTGATACAAGAAAGTTTGAACCAGCGAGTTTTATTAGTTGCATACACATAAATGGTTATTTAAGAGCAAAAGTTAAACACATCTGGCAGCCATTTGCGATGCGTTTTCATATTTTGTGGAGATTTATTAAAATCGGGACAAGGTGCTTCATATGTAATAAAAATCAAAAAAATAAAGTGAAGTGATGTTATCTATGTTCTTTAGTTCTTTGATAATAGTTGTGTTTAATGAGACCGATAAAAGTTCAGAGCAGCTCAAGTTAGAGCAGAATCGATGTCAAAAAAACAATAGAGCAAGTTAGAGCAACTCAGTTCACAAATCTCATGAAACACTTTTCAGGCAGAATTCTCAAAACGGTTGCTTGCTCTGAGTTACTCCATCAAAAAAGCTGGTGCAGAAAATCGTGCTCTAAGTTGCTCTAGTTCCACTTAGAGCAGGCTCATGAAACGAAAACCAAGAAAAATCCGCATGAAACACAATTTTGTGAGATATCTTAACTTGGCGTAACCTTGAGCAGCTCATTAAACACAACTAATATGTATGTGCAAATATTTGTGTAAGTCTGTACAGTAAAATTAAATGTTATACGTAGTTAATTTGTTTTTATTGTACTAGCTGTGTTTTAGTTTTAATTAATGTTATGTTATCTACATTTTTAATAAACTGGCATTGGATAAACAATTTAAAAACTTTAAAAATGTTTGGTAGGTTGTGGTTGGTCTTGGTAGCAAATATTGGTAGGAAGCTCTGGCAACACTGGTGACTATTATTTTATATGATTGAAATAGCAAAACATGTGGTTGGCAACGCGAGTGAATGTCATTTTCGCAATAGGCTCCAGACGGTCGGTGAAAGTCTGAGGAAAAATAGCTTTTCTTGAGGTGTATCAACACGGGCAGTGCGAACTGAGACAGTTGCTGCATATAAATTATTCCATTTACAGCTAAGAACCAATATATCAATCGAAAGTAAGCTAAAAATAAACATAGAACAATGCAAAGTGTTTTAAACACTGTCAAGGGTACGGCGTTGAATGTGGCCGAGTACCTTACTCCTGTACTAAAGGTGACCATAAATTGGAGCTACAATAATGCAAAGAGCACATAATCGATACGATATTTTTTCAGGAATCTAAATTTCGTGAGACTGGCGTATTAACTCCAGAAGAGTTTGTAGCAGCCGGTGATCACTTGGTGCATCACTGTCCCACCTGGCAGTGGGCTGCGGGTGATGAGTCAAAAACGAAGCCGTATCTACCGAAAGGTTAATTCAACAGCTAGAATGCAGTTATTATTCACTAAACTACCTCTATTCTCGCAGATAAACAATTTTTAATCACGAGAAATGTGCCATGCTACAGGCGTTGCAGACAAATGGAATATGTGGGTGAAGAGACGGTAGTTGAAGAAGAGGGTGGCGATGGTGGCTGGGTCGAGACGCACCAACTCAACGAAGATGGTACTGCCGAATTGGAAGAGAAAGTTTGCGAATTGACACTTGACGAAAGCAAAGTTTGCAAAAACAAAGTAACTAAATAGAACGCCTACTTAAATTAATTTTTTTTTTTAGGATGAAATGCGTACACCTGATAGTGAGAAAAGCACCAACGGGCCAGGTGTGGCTGATGATGATTGCGATGACGATGAAGATGATGACGAAGCGATTGATATGGACGAATTTGAGGAGAGTGGCATGTTGCAGTTGGTAGACCCCGCTGTAGCAACTACAACACGTAAAATAGAACTTGACTCGACAACGAAGAGCTCTAATGTTGCTGAAGCAACGGGTGGTGGTGATGCTACAGACTCAGTTTTGCACACACGTACCTATGATTTACACATCAGTTACGATAAGTACTATCAGACGCCACGTCTTTGGGTAGTCGGCTATGATGAGGTAAATACATTTTCTTACAGTTTTCTTTCATGCTTCAATATATGACTATTTTTTTGCCACCAGAATCGAAAACCACTGACTGTCGAACAAATGTACGAAGATGTTTCGCAAGATCACGCAAAGAAGACTGTCACCATGGAAAGCCATCCACATTTGCCTGGTCCGAATATGGCCAGCGTACATCCATGTCGCCATGCTGATATCATGAAGAAAATCATACAAACAGTTGAAGAGGGCGGCGGAGAATTGGGCGTGCACATGTATTTAATTATATTTCTGAAATTCGTGCAAACTGTTATACCGACTATTGAATACGATTTTACGCAAAATTTTAACATGTCTTAAATTAGCTATTTGTACTCGCCAGACTTAGGCAATGCTTTTGATCACTACGTAAGAAATGTTAAGTGCTATTTTTTAAGATTTATACTTTAAAAACGGCTTAAATTATGTACGATATTAGATATTAAAAATTGTGTATATGATTTATTAAGCCATACACCATCAATATAATAATATATACTTTGTTCTTGCAATAAGCATGCATTTAAAACACGATTGATTGAAAATGCTTTAATTCCGTTTTACGATTTTCGCACACACATTTATATGATAAGATAAAGCAAAGAACGTAAATGTATAAGAAGCGACAACTCGTTACTTTGAAAATGTGCCGCGTCGATTTTGACCGTATCTGAAAGGTTGAGATGAGGAGTTCGTCTCCCTTTTGACTCTGTCCGCGGCAGATTTTTGATTTTCGCCTCGAATGCGGAAAATGCCAGCAAAACAGAAGAAAAGCGGCAAATGTGAATTTCGGGGATTGTTTAGCGCAAGTTGTTGAAAAGTGTATTTTAATTTAGGAAATAAATAAAAGAAGGTGTAAAATGTATAGTATTCAGTGAATGTGTAAAATACTGAAGTGCATGTATGTGAAAGTGTCCATATTCATAATAAAGTGTTTGTAAGTGCGAAGTGTTTGTCAACAAGTGTCGATTGTTGGTGTCTGTGCATAAGAGTGATCATTATTTTAAACAAAATCAGTGTACTTTTATATAAAAATGCATTAGTTTAATAAGAAATCTATGCATTTAAATATGAGTGTACTTATGTTTTGTTTTCATCTGGAAATTTACATATTTAAAGTGTGCAAAAAAATGGTGTTTTGGGAGATTTGATGGATAAAGTGTGTATACGGCGGCTTTATTACAAAACCAATGTTTATTATATACAGATAGCATAAGTTTAATTTAAATCTATGCATTTATACATGAGTATGCATACATTTTGTTATTATCGGGCAAGAATAAATGTTTTCCAATTTTTTGTTCATATGCATGCAAAAAATAAACACATAAATGTGAAACATGAGTTGTCTCCGTCTTTCTCACATCCTCCGCCAAAACAAAGGCGTAAATGTGAAACATAAGTTGTCTTCGTCTCTCCCACGTCCTCCGCCATCATTATCTTGACAAATTCTTAAATTCCTGCAAAATGCCGCGTCCTGACATATTTACGCGCATACATATGTACGTTTACAGTAGGCTACTCCTAACTTGAATTCTTGTAGCTCTATTCTGCTTGTTACCGGATATTTTGTAACCAGCAAATTTTGTTACCAAACATTGTTAGCACTTCTTGTAACCGCAATTCAAGGTACCTTGGTAGCGTTTTAATTTATTCAGCATTCCAGGTATGAAGTTTTGTAGAAATTCTGTTGTTGCATATTTCATGGGGCAATATTTTGTTACCTGCTTATGAGATGGTAACAAATTTTACTGGTTACAAAAGTGCGCAGAATGCGAAAAGGGTTTAAAAAAACCGAGGAACTTTATTTTTGGTTAAAAAAATTACCAACGCAGAATAGGCTTGTTAATGTACGATTTTTTGTGTTTGTCGCTTTTGATGATAGTAAACAAAATTTGTGTTACCAACGCAGAATAGGTCTGTATGTATACACTCACTTATACATGCTTCATAGCTTCGCAATTATCAATAATGCAAAATAATTAAATTTTTTGAATTCGTATACATGTTGCTCGTAGTATCTAGAGTCAACTGTAAACAAATCGTAAGCGATCGGTTTACAAAAATTTTAAAATTGATGACCGAAGCTGGTGAAGGCAACCATGTTGCCAAATTACATTTGTTGTAAAACCACTTATGTATGTGATTTCAGAAGTTTTGAGTTTACAACAAAATATCATGGGTCATTTGTGCAAAAAATGTATGTTTATTTTGTTTTTTGTTAAATTAAAATCTTAAGCAACTAATTGATAATATACAAGTTTGAAGAAGTGCTGCGATTTAGAAGTTTAGAGAAAAAATGTCTTAACACGAGATAGGTTATTTTTGCAGATATTACTGCGGACTTGCCACTTTTCATTTGGCTGGCTGTGGTTTCTTCAATTTTACATTTTAGAATTTTTGTGGCCCTCGAGATGAATTTGCGCTTGTAGGCGATGCGCTTGCGGGGAGATGTGTGGCAATTGAATTTATGAATGAATGAGTTTGACCTTGAAGAATATGCGCATGCGTTTATGAATGAAATTGTTATTGTTGTGTTTTAGTCGCATATGCGCTTTTACATACATTTGTATGTACGTACGCGTATTTGCATGAATGTGATATGTTTGGAGGGAAATGGCATGAGTATATTAAATAAGTTTATTGATTATAAACGTACATTTGGTTGATATAAAAAGGGTAATTTCATCCATAAATTACAACTTTACAACTTCAAATACTAAAGAGGAAGCTTATAAAGGTCTTGCATAGCGCATGTATTTAATTTACTTATATTTGTTTAAAATTATAAAATAAAGTAAATCTATGCACATGCGCATGCAAATTGTTAAATGCCGTCGCAAATAAACAAAAAGAGCTGCGGCCATGTTTTTTTTCATTTCATTTTATTATTTCTATCATCGGTCACTTTTCCTTAACGTTCTTTATCGCCGCGAAACCATATGTGCGGCGAATTCATTTACGAAAATGGATGTTAAAACGGACGCGAACTCCTCATCTCAACCTTTCAGACCTCACTCGCCGACTTCAACGAGTTGTCGCTTCTTATACATTTACGTTCTTTGTTCAAACTCAGAACTTGGCAACACTGTTGAGAACTATGAAATTCTCCAAGGTTGGAGAAATATTTTTTTGGTGTTTATTGGAATAGTTCAAAAGTATCGATACCAAAGTTACTTGGTATCGAACGAAAAGTATCGAGTATGTACTTGTTTTTACTCGTATCGTTTCATCCCTAAGTATGGCGCGTTTTATATTTTATTTTTAGGCGTCGCTAATTTTACGTATAGTTTTCGAATCTCACCAATGGAAAAAAATAGAAAGACGAGTTTCAGAACTCAAAGTATTAAAAGGTTTTTATCGCCCCAACCGTCAAATATTCCGTGTAAAAAGCCCTGCAAGACGAGTGTTAAAATTGGGCCCAAAAGCAAGGTGCGCGGAGCTTGTCTCGTTGCGCAGAATGATGAAAATTTTGACGAAATGGAGGAGAGGAAAACTGACAGCAATAATGGTGTTGCGGGTAAAAATGAGCCCCAAGATTCCAGGTTAGTAAATGCTTACTGAAAAAGAGGGTTTGTGTGGAGGAAATTCCTTTGCAGCACCACTTGCGCCTCACAGCACAAATTCGATTGGAATAGCTTTGTGCGGGATCCTGGGGAGCTTAGCGAAGCATGTTATCCTGTCACATTAAATACCTTTAAAACAATGACATACAGTATTAATGTTGCCCAACGCATACTTGAGGACATTAAAAATGCGACCGGCCTCGACTTCTTGAGCGATCAATTTATGGTAGACCGAGTTTTGAAAAATTATTACAAAAATTTTTATGAGCAACCACAAATTCGTGATATTTATAAGCTGGAGACAAAAGCGTGTCCGGTGTTTGTAAAAAAGAAAATCATGCAAATACCAAAATTAGATGGAAAGGGGGGAGGTAAGCGCTAAAGTCGCAAAAGAGAAGTATTGCATCTTCTGCATGCCTACATCAATATATTTCCAGTTGCAAGTACAGTAGAAGAAGCAAAGAATTCTGATGATAACAATAAATCAATCCAAGTCCAGCCAGCTGAGCACGTAGGTCAAGTGGTCAAACCGAAGAAATTCGAGCTCGTGGTAGCACAATCCACGAAAACGCAAGCAAACAGCCTATCACCACAAAGGTATTCAATATTATTTGTACATACACATTTTTATAAAAATTTTTACCACGAATATTTACTTTATAGTACAAGTCCATTCAGAACCATAAATCGTAGGAATATAATATTCATTGCGAAAAGAACAGATCTTGCTGAGTCAAATTTATTACTCAACCATATAAGACGTCATGTCCAAGATGTTGAAAAACACCAAGAGATATTGGAAAGAATTAAAATTGACGTTTTTCGACAAACGAAACCAACTCAACATAATCTATCAGATCAAAATGCGGAAGAAAAAATGTGTTTGGATGAGTCTGAGGAAGAGTTGTCTAACATTACTGTAAGCTCTCAAAACACAACCACTTTAAACTTGGCAAGACAGCGCATTCAAGACGCCAAAGAATTATTTTTTCGTGAATACGATAAGGTATTTATCTTTACTTTTGTACGCTTTTACACATTGCTTTATACATAGAAAGTGTTATTCTAAATATAATTTCTCATGTCAGTCAAATACACTTGCATATGCATTACGTTTCCACCAAGGCCTCAAGCGTCGCATAATTGAAGTTATTCTTAAAATGACCTTCGAAGAATTCAAGGAATATACAAGAATACACAATGCACCAGAAATTTATGATGATGATGAATTTCTGGGCGGATTTTATGATTATGCAATTAAGGAGCCACAAATATGGCCTATAAATCTTTATATGCCGTTAAGCGCCCTATTTGAGTTTCTCAAATTAAAAGGTATTACACTTTCTGATTATAGTTTAGAAGATGTTACGCCAATACTTTTGCATTGGAGTGAACTGGCCTGCACTACTAATTTTGATAACGTTATGCGTTGGGATTACTATCGTTGTAAGGGTGAACATTTAAAAAAAAACGAAACTTTGGATGGGTACCGTAAATTATTTTATGAAAAATGTTGGTTGCACAATATTTGGGTGCGGAAGTCACCAAATGTGCAAATAAAAAAGCAGGCCAGAGAAATACTAGAAAAAGAAGTTGAGAGGGAAATGCCAAAAGAAGTAGCCAGTCAGGTTGAGGAGGAAGCTTGCGCGGCTGAGGTGAGCAATAATGACGAAGTTGGAGAAAAAGCAGCAGTTAGCAATAATGATAGCGCAAAAGTGCAGAATGTTTTAGCAGCCATTGAAACAGTAGCCGAAGGCGCGATTCAGTTAGGTACTGACAATGTTGAGCCGCCGAAGCCCATGAATGTAGAGAATGTTGGACACATAGATGAGGGGAACGCCGATACGGAGATGCAAGATCTTGGAGATAAACGGGAAACGCATCAAGTAAACAATGATAAAGAGCACCAAGCAATATCGATTGAAGAAATAGAAGTCATTAAGCAGGAAAGAAATTGCGTAGTAAAAGAGTCTGCAAGAACAGAAACTGCAATAGCGGCATTGGAAGAAGAAACAGTCTCAGACCAAACTATTGTAATGGCCAATGGAGCCACGACCGCACAGACATGTCTTACTGATGCTGAAAATGTATGAAAATGGTTTGAATATTTAACAATTTCTGCAATAACTAAAATTTTTGTAGTTAACCTTGACGGCAACACAGGGAGTTTTAGGCCAGAATATGAATAGTGCGGAGCAAGCACGCTTACAGCAAGCAATAGATCTGTATTTTGCAACAGTTGAGAATGTAAGAAAAGTGTTCATTATACAATAAATGAGTAATATTTCTGTAAGATGTAACTTTGTTTCAGTCATGTACGCTTCCTTATCTCCTACACTATCACAGTGGTCCGAAACGCAGAGTAATTGCCAGTATTCTAAATATGTCTTTCCCAGAGTTCAAACAATATACGCGTATATACGAAGCAGCAGAGATTTATGAAAATGTAGAACTATTAAAGCGTTGCTATGAGCACACAATAAAATCACCTCAAGTGTGGCCCATTAATCTTTATATGCGTCTATCAGATGTCTTTCAGTACCTTAAATCAAAGGACGTTGCACTGCCTGAAATCGGTTTAAAGTATATTTCACCGAAATTATTCCATTGGCGAAATTTAATTGCGACAACAAATTATGATCATATAGTCATTTGGGACTACTATCGAAGTACTGGTAAAAAATTCAATCGAAGTAATACTTTTCTTGATCCATATCGACAGTCATTTTATAAAAAGTGTTGGTTCCATGACAAATGGATATGGTATACGCCAAATATTTTAACTAAAGTAATGAGATGCATAACGAACGAGCAAAGCACGCCGGCAGAAAATAATGAAAGTTCTATTTTTGAAAGATCAGTTGGGTTGCACGCCGTAGAGCAGGTACAGGAAACCAGCACACCTAATGTGACTACCGAAGTTGTAAGCAGAGGTGACGAACCAGCTGTGGCTTCGGATTGCAAGATGCCTAGAACTGTTGAGACGGGAATTCAAACATCACGTAAGTGGAGAGAGGGACAGATTTTTAATAAGTGTTATTCGTTTTTTACTTCATTTTACTCAAAATGATTTCAGGGGCGATTGATACTTATTTTATTTTATTCCATAACATGTTATGTTATGATCTATTATGTATGTTCTCTTATAGTATGTTACGTTATGTTGTGCTTTTCTATACTATGTTACGTTATGTTATGCTCTCCTATGTTATGTAATTTTTTTAGCTTTAGTTTTATTTTTAATTTTTTCACAGAGAGACTTCTTGGAGAATATTTAAATTTCGGATTGCAAGCAACTACCCGCAACGAGCCAGTAAACTTTGAAAATCGTAAGTTTCAAATTCATATTTTTAAGGTTAACATACGAAAATCCAGTTTAACTTATTCATTTCTCTAGCCGCAACTACTTTTCTGCCATGCGAAATCATCAAACAAGAAAAACTTGTGCCTCTCAATAAATTGCAATTTAATCTAACTGAGGATGAGGAAAATTACGAATGTGTGCAAGCGCCAGATGAGATAGTTGTTTTAGACACTACTGCTGCTTCAAGCCAGTCACAAGACATAACGCTACAAGCGCCACTGTCGAATTCCGAAAATTTGGTTACACATGATGTCAATGTGTTATTCTCGAGCGGCTCCATGGATATAAGTAATTTATGCAACTGGCCGCTAGCACCTACAGATAGTCAAAGTCAAAACTCGAATGAATTTAACACACTTCAGAACCGAACGGAATTTAGCGAAAATATTAATCAACAAAGCGAACAAGAGCAGCAGAAAGAAAGGTCACTGTCGCAGGAGCATTGCTTGGAGGAAGTACAAACGCAGCAACAAGAGCAAACGCAGCAAAAACAGCAAGCGCATCAAATTATACAACAATCTTCACAAAAATTGCAAACAAAGCAACAAGCAGACCGGATTTCGATACAAGAAGTGCAAATACTATCGGGGCCACAACAAATCTGGAAAGATATTGCAAAAACAAATAAGCAAGCGAATGCGCCTATTGAAACACAAATATCACGGTTGAAGGAGGATCAAGCAAAAGTTCAGCAACAGGCAGACGCAAATCTAAAGCGTACGAAGCATCAGCAAGCGTTACAAGAACAACAAGAACCTCACTTAATGCGTGTAAAGCAAGAGAACGCGAAGACAACAACAACAACTTCAAAGCAACAAAAGCACACTGATGCTCCAATTGCTGTAACCCGAATCATTCAAGAAAATCCACAATTCGAGGATGTTACTGATTTACAAATTTCAAATAGTCAAAGTCATCCATCAACTAATGCACAATTTCGGCGAACAGAGGAGCAAAAACAAGGAACCAAGCAAATATTAGAAACACCAATTCAGCAACAGCGATGTAGAGACGAAGGAGAAAGCTATCAGAAGATTCAGCAACGGCCGCAAGGAGAATCTCAAATACCGCAGTTAGACAAAAGTGTAGAGCGACCGCAAGAGCAACAGAGACAAGTGCAAACTCTAGCAAAGGAACAACTATCGCCAGTACACCAACAATCATCAAACACACAGCCAAAACAACAGCTAGCAGAAGTTTGCGTGGAGCAACCAATACAACAACTACAGCAAGAACAAGACATTGAAGCACAACTGGAAGCTCTATTTGGCGAAAGCACGGAAATGCGGCCGCAAGAAATTCAACCAACTGTGACGCCACAGATTAAAGAGACGCCAATCAAATTAGAGTTTCAAAAGCCGCCAACTCAATCCACCCATGCAATAATCGAATACCAATTAGCGCAAGAACAAGCATTGCAGGCACATGTGAATTGCAATGATTCGACAGAAGCTTATACTAAAGTCGAGATCATTTCACAACATGTGCAATCGCAGCAACAGCAGCAGGAACAGCAACCCCAACTCGCCCAAACCCAATTAATATTGCAACGTACACACACTCAAGTGGAAGAACAGCTTATGCTTAGACCTTGCAGTTTGCCACAACAGATGGCAATACCTGTGCAACCTCTAACCAAATTATCTCGGCAACGAACATCAACATCTACGTGCACTACAAAAACTAAAACTGTTAAAACTACAAAGGCCGCTGCTACACGAAAAGCAGTCACAAAACAAAGTGATTTTGTACCACAAATCACACATAATTT